GGCTGATTCCAGGAAGCTGGGGGCAGAGCAATTCTGCCTCCAGCTTCCTGTAGTCAGCCCCTGGTCAGTTTCAGCAGCAGCGGCTGAATCTGGAGCCAGTTCCGACTTACATACAAATTCAACTTAAGAACAAACCTATAGTCCCTATCTTGTACGTAACCCGGGGACTGCCTGTATGTATTTTTACACCACTAATCCTGAGTATGTTTAAACTAAAAAACCCTACATATACCGAATCCCTTCCTCCCTTCACCCTAATCTGACGTTAGCTAGGACAGTTGGTCCAGCTTCACAGCTATGCCTGGGGGATGAGAGACCGTGATGGCGAAACGCATGAGAGGAGTTCTTCAACTTCTGGGAAGCTTATAATTGCAGACACGGGGCTGGGATTATTTTTTAAAATTCATTTTGGACTTCCACTCCAGCCTGGAACAGTCACCAGATTCTCGGCCCCAGATATTCCCAGCTGGATCAGGTCCCAAACATTATTGAGCAAGGCGTTTAAACTGCTATTAACAGTAAGTGAATGGTGATTTAAATGGAGCCCTGCATTGCTTGCAATCTATATGGCATACAAGGATGTCAACAGTGGATGGTTACGATCTCTATGTGGGACTAAAAAACCCCATTCCACACTTCCACAACAAGTAGTTTCTAGGAAAGGCAGTATGCTTTTTATGTGGAGACTGACAGCTGGGACTGTACAACATTACCTTGTTTGATTTGAGAACAGCCAAGTGTGGAGATCCCGAGGGGGTGCGAAGTAATAACTCAGAGGAGAAGGCCACATTTGCAATCTGCATACATTCATCAAGAGTCTTCAGGAAAGTGTTACATGTTGATTTCAGCAGAGCTCCCATATCAATTCCATTCTGTGAAATAAAACCAGCCACTTTGCCATCAACACCTAATTTGGAAAGACTGAATTTACAAAATCCATCATCCCAACAGCCATGTTTTTTAATCATCAGAAGCCCAATATCTTCAAAGAGCTAAAAAGAAGAGGCCATTGGATCACAGCAAGGACAGCAGACACAATAGGGATTGTATCTTCTGTAGGTGTTCCTGCTGTTGTTCGCCTCCAGTAACACCAATCTCAAAAAGCAGCATTTCAATAGCAACATCTTTTTGTATGACCCAGGCCTGGAGTTAACACATACAATGAGTTCACTACTCGTCCATGACCCAAGCGGAAACCAGGGCAAGAGAATGAGAAGCTGACTATTCAACTAGATAAAAGTGACCTAAGATAAGATTATGAAGTGGGTAAATACATTATTACAGGCAGTCCCCGACTTACGCGGATCCGACTTAAGTCGGATCCGCACTTACGAACGGGGCTTTTCTCACCCCGGAGCTCACGGCGTTCACTACTCGTCCATGACCCAAGCGGAAACCAGGGCAAGAGAATGAGAAGCTGACTATTCAACTAGATAAAAGTGACCTAAGATAAGATTATGAAGTGGGTAAATACATTATTACAGGCAGTCCCCGACTTACGCGGATCCGACTTAAGTCGGATCCGCACTTACGAACGGGGCTTTTCTCACCCCGGAGCTCACGGCGGTGGGTCGCCAACCGTGTCCTCCGGGGCGAGAAAAGCTTCTCCCAGTCTCCCTGGTCTGCTGGGGGGGGGGGGCCGGC